TATATATATATATAATGTTCTCTTAATTTTTTCTGATATATATATAAAACATGTAATTTATCCTTCAATTTTTTTGGCAAACAAAGTGCTACACAACAGAGGTTTACTGTTAACATTAGGAAGAAAAAAAGTGTGATTATTTCTTTAAAAATAAAGTTTTATTAATATTTATTATTTGTAGTAGTAGTATTGTTATTACATTGAAGCTTACATTCTACTGCACAACAGTAATATATTTCTGTCACAGTTTCTTCAAGTTAAACCAAACTTTTATTTTGACGGGTTGCTGTCAAGAACTTGCAGCTGCTGTGTATGTGATATTACGGTCGTTTTTCTCAAATACTAATGAAGGGACTCTCAGAGCAGCTGTGGAGATAATGTTTGTGTCGTCATATTGTCATATATTGCAGAAATCATAGCGCCATATGCGTGATGTCAAATTCTTCCACAAAATTAGATGTAGAGCCTTTCATTTGTAAAGTGTTACTGGATTAACAACAATAGGCATCATCATGGTTATGCAACATATGCAACACTTTGGGGATGAATTTCCAGCAAAAAGTAACTATATCATAATATATACCATGGGTTTTAGAAATGTCCGCTTAAACTGTAATATGCAGTATACTGAAATATAATTGCTCATATCATGATCTAATATTTGTATTATATTTATTTACTATATATATTGCTTACTATGTTTTTCACAGTGCATGATAATTAAATAAAAAATGTTATATTCCATATGCGTGATGTCAAATTCTTCCACAGACTTGTAGTGTTACTACAGCATTTCACCTCAGCATTGCAAATCACGCAATATTGGTTTGTTCGTCAACAGTATCTCCGCCATGTTAAGCTATGAATGAATGTTAGGCTTTCCGTTGTAACATCACGCAAGGTAAATGAGAGGACGACATCTAGTGGAGAAGATTCACGTTAATCAGATCTTGTGTTAAATCTTTGCGGAAATAAATATGGAAGAGATCGATTTGCAGCTTTTGAGAATCAATAATGAATCGACCACATTTTAAAAAATCTTTTTTTTGCCTAGCCCTATTCTATATGCATGTGAATAGAAAGTGATTGTGTTCCCACCTCGTCTAACCTGGTCTGCAACGTGACCCGGGCCCCGGCTCCTGGAATCCGGCTCAGTGCTGCCTCAATCTGTGGAAAATAAATAAATATTGGGTGAAAGCGTCATAGCTTTTAGCAAATTGCTGGATGGAAACAGCTGAGATTAAACAACAGGGTTTTGAGTTAGCACTCCTCAGCATGAATAGGAAAAAGGGAAGCCTTTGCTAAAAATAGACGTGATTAACCAGCAGCGCTATAAAGTCAGGTTATGTAATGTGTAGTGCTGAGGTCACAGCAGAAACATGCGCTACCATCGATCGTCAGTCAGTCTCAAACCAGCACGAGCCGTGAGCGAGTCACACGCTGTTCAAACACTCACGGGATGTTGTGACATGCCTTCCATGAGCTTTCAGAGTTTCACAATGACTATAGCATGTCTATGGCCAGAATTGAAATAATGAATGAACACAACTGAGCTAGAATTAAATCATGGGTTTTAGAAATTGCTAAAAATATAATTTACACACACACACACACACACACATATATATATATTTTACCAATAAATGCTCACAGACAGACTGTGTGTGTGTGTGTGTTTAAAATTTGAATGCATAAATCATTTTTTTGTAAATATGTAATATTTACTTATTTAATCCACAGATGAAGATTGTCATATTTCAATGTTTTTGTTCAGTGACTTGCAAACTTTTCCCATTTTAACAATTCATTTTCACAGGTTTCCCAACTGTGCATTTAAAAAAATAAGTAAAAACTTCATACAGTTTTTACTACATTATTAACTAGTTTACTACAGTACATTATTAACTGGTTTAGCTGGGTAATACTTTAAAATAAGGTCTCATTTGTAAAAATTAATGAATGCATTAACTAACATGAAGCAACAATGAACAAAATATTTTTACAGCATTTGATCTTAGAATGCCACGATCGACCAATCAGAATCAAGTGTTTTAGAGAGCCATGTCATAACAGGAAATATCCCACAATCACCTGCTGCTTTTCCTGCGTGAGCTCATCAAAGAGGCGCTCTGCGTCAGCCAGCGACTGAATGCGAGGCTGACTGGAGAGGGCCGTCTCTTCACCGGCAGCTTCCTGTTCGTCCCAGCTGAGTCCAACCGCAGGCTCCTCAGACTCACTGCTCTCTGCAGGCTCAGACGAGTTTTCTATTTGAATATATTTTAAAATGTCATTTATTCCTGTGATAATTTTTTCAGGCTTAAGTGTCACGTGATCGTTCGGAAATAATTCTAATATGCTGATTTGCTGCTCAAGAAACATTTCTGATTATTATCAATGTTGAAAACAGTTGTGCGGCTTGATATTTGTGGAAACCCATGCTTAATAAAACCATGATAAAAGTTCAAAAGAACAGCATTTATTGAAATAAATATCTTTGTAACATTATAAATGTATTTACTGTCACGCTTTTAAAAGTAAAATTTAAAAAGTATTAATTTATTAACAAAAAAAAAAACTCACTGACCCCAAACTTTTAAATGGTAGTGTAAAAATTAGTCAATAAAAATTAAAAATATAGATATATGTATTTAAATACACATTTTTGTCACTCTTTTCAATTCTGTGATATATAATAATTTAATTTTTTTATATATAGAATTTTCCTAAATGATGCAAGTCATATGTAATAGAGATTTAATATTTTCAATGCTAAAACAGCATAAATTTATTAAAGCAATACATAAAAAAAACTATTATATTATAATATATAAATATAAAAACGTAACTAATTTAATTAATTGTAGCAAAGTGTAAAATATATATATATATAAATATATACACACACACGTATGAGCAAGCACCATAAACAGTTGTCAATGTCACTGTTTCTTCTTCTAAGACTGTCACCGTGTGATGGTTAAACCTGACAAAAGCAATAATACCTTCCAGTCTATCAGAAGCCTTAAACTGTAACCTCTTCCTTGGACTCGGATGGGACGGTAAAGAGGAGCTGATGCCATTTCGATCAAAAACATCAAACCTAAAAAAACAAGGCATATACAAGATATTATTTACTGACACCTGATCAGTGCAGATGGCAAGTGAGTCAGATAGCAGGACAGAAATGTTACCTGCTCTGCAGGTGCTCTTGGGATGGAAGAGGGTGACCCAACGCGGTGGAGAAGTTCTCAGTCGGGCAGCGCTTGGGACTGGACTTGGCTGAGAGAGGCATGAGTAATGTGTCTCTCTTTGCTAACATTAAAAACACATTCAATCAGTAAAGATGGACTTTTATCAGCTATTTTGAAAATGCATCAAATGCTCAAATGCTAAAGCTTTGGGTCACTCACTGGGTGTGGCGAGAAGAACGGCTCTCTGTGCTCTGGGGGGCAGAGATGATGACCTGTGACCCTCTGGAGAGAGACTCCTAATGCACAAGTAATCCACATCCCTCCTGTCCTTCAATTAACATCTTGTGAAGTGAAAAGCTTCTTGCCAAAATGACTCCATAATACATAATAACAATAAAAAACAATCCCCTGTTGTCCTCTCACATCAAAATCCACCCACATATGTGACCCTGGAGCACAAAAGCAGTCATAAGCCGCACGGGTATATTTGTAGCAATAGCCAACAATACATTGTATGGGTCAAAATTATAGATTTTTATTTTATGCCAAAAATCATTAGGATATTAAGTAAAGATCATGTTCCATGAAGATATTTTGTAAATTTCCTACTGTAAATATATCAAAACTTCATTTTTGATTAGTAATATCCATTGCTAAGAACTTCATTTGGACAACTTTAAAGGTGATTTTCTCAGTATTTCGATTTTTTTGCACCCTCAGATTCCAGATTTTCAAATAGTTGTATCTCGGCCAAATATTGTCCTATCCTATCCTTTTGTGGTCCAGGGTCACATATTCGTTTAGAACCGTTTTAGCTTGTAAACAGTGCTTGATATGTGTATATTTCTCTCCTGATTCAAACGAGATGACTTTTTCACTGGAGAAAACAATATTATGGATATAGGACTCATATTTTAGCCAGAAGCAATGGTGTCAAGTTAAAACATTGAAATCGTGGATTTGTTTCTTAGAAACATGCAGCTTTTAACTTCACAAGACGTTAACTGATAGACTGGAGTGGTGTGGATTACTTGTGATGTTTTGAATCAGCTGTTTGGACTCTCATTCTGACGGCACCCATTCGTTTTGTGACATACTGGAGGAAGCACAGCCTCTCTTGGATAGTGCGCGGCCCTCAGTGGCTTTGGTGTCCTCCATCTGGATCAGGGCCTTCATCATGGGCGTCAGGGGAACATCCCTCTTCCTCGGCTCTTCAGAGTGACCCTGAGTCTGTTCTCTCTCTGGTGGAGACAGCCGTCTGATGAAAGAGGATAGTTCAAAGTTAGAAATTACCTTCTCAAAATGAATGCACCACCGAATGATAAAGAAATTAATATTGTGAAGAGCAGTACCCTCTAGCTCCGGATGTCTGTTCACCTCTGAGACCAGCGCCGTTCCTCATGCCCACATCAACATCTCGCTGCCTTTTACTCGGTGAAAGCAGAAGATCAGGGTGGTGGAACAAACTGGAATGATTCAATTTGTGAGTTTCAGCTTGGAGTAAAAGCATTTCAGGGATTCAGATTGAAGTTTGATTTTTTTCGATTAGAAGAAAGGAACAGTTAAGCTGTACACTAGCATCTGTCCATTAATCAATAACTGCTAAATAAGTGTATACAGTTCATATTCATTGTTGTAAAACACTAAAAGCTGTGTTTTAGACCCGTGATGATGAGTATGTGGTGTGTGTTTTGTACCCTGCTCCAGATGGTTGTGAGTGGCTGTGGAGAGATTGACGTGTTTTAGCCAGATTTTCGTGCTGTAGCTGTCGGAATTGAGCCTCTAGCTTAGAGATGACTCTACAAAACCATAGAGAAATTCATAAATAAAAAGACATTTAGTTAGTATATAGCATTCATATTACTACCCATGTTACATATATTACATGTAAATATAATGAATGATATTAACAAACAAACATAATTACAAATTAAGAAAATTTTATTTGTATCAGTAATTATGATTGTTATAATTATGTACATTTCAAAACAAATATGACTTTATTTTTATAGACTTCCTAAACTTTATTTTATAATATGACAGGTAACACTTTACAATAAGGTTTCATTTGTTAACATTAGTTAACTATATGTGACCCTGGACCACAAAACCAGTCATAAGGGTCAATTTTTTTTAAATATGTAGTATACATCATCTGAAATCCGAAACATGATCTTTACTTAATACCCTAATGGTTTTTGGCATAAAAGAAAAATCAATTATTTTGACCCATACAATGTATTTTTGGCTATTGCTACAAATATACCCCAGCGACTTAAGACTGCTTTTGTGCTCCAGGGTTACCTATTAGTTATAAGGAACAATAGTTATACAGCACTTATTAATTTAAATTAATGTTAAGTTCAACATTTACTAATACATTATGAAAATCAAATGTTGTATCTGTAAACATTAATCAGTGCACTATGAATTAACATGAATATTTTTATTAACTAACATTAACACAGGTTAATAAATGCTGTAAAATATATTTCATTGGTCATTCATCGTTTCATTTCAAAATATTTATTGTTAGTTCATGTTAGTTAATGCATTAACAAATGTTATCAAATGAGATTATTGTAAAGTGTTACCATATGACTATTTTTCATTAATATATGTGCTGAATTACATTATAACATTTAACAATTAAACAATTAAATACAATTGTTAAATATTAATTTAAATTAAATTGCTAAATATTACATTCATAAAATTTAGCCATAATTATACATTTCAGTGTAATAAAATAGTTGATATAATGATACTAATTGCAGATTTGCATTGAAGAAATCTGACTACCTTTTCAGTTCTGATATTTGTTCATTGGCATCAAAGAGCTTATTTTCAGTCGAGGCCAACTTGTCCTGTTAGGAAAGAAACAACTGAATAGTTTGTGCACTTCTATGCACTATTTGGATCATGATGTCAGATAAAAACAGCTCTCACCTTCGCTCCCTCATGCTCCCTTCTCAGTGAATCATACTCGTGGAGGAGCTGCAAAACAACAACAACAAAAAAACAGTGCATCATCACATTGGCCTTTATGGTCAAATATAACAGCATAAGCGAAGTTTCAAGGATTCTGCTCAGCTCACATCGCGAATGAACTGTTATGATTAGCTAACCTATGGAAGCCCATTTCCACCAAAAAATGCTTTGGTAAATTATAATTATGAGATAAAACGTCATAATTATTACATTAAAAAAGGCATAATGATTAAAGTAAAAAGTAAAAATTATGAGATAAAAACTTGAAATGAGATACTAAGTCATAATTCCCGCATTAAAAAGTCATAATTATGATGGTCAAAATTGAGATAAAGTCATAATTATGACAATTAAATTACGAGATGCAAAGTCATAATTATTAGAAACAAAGTTATAATTATGGCAAAGAGTCAAAATTGACATAAGAAGCCATATTTATGTTATAAAACATCAAAATATTTGAGATACTATATCATAATTATGACATAAAAGTTATAATTGTGATGGTCAAAATTTAACTAAAAAGTCATACAAATGATATGAGATAGTCACAATGTCATTAAAAAAAATCTAAATTATGAAATCTAAATTCATAATTATGACATCAGAAAGATAGATAAAAGATAAAAAGGAAGACTATGATGTAAAAATATGAAAATATGAGATTTTAAGACATAATTATGACAAGTTATATATATACCAAAAAGTCAAATTTGACATCAAAAATATGCAACTACGACTAAAAAGTAGAAAATTATGAGATAAAAAGTAATATTTGACCTATCGATAAGCCCCTCCCCTCGAACGCAGATGAGCCAATGGCAGTCGAGTATCAGTTGCACGGGGAACTCGGACATCTTTAGGTTTCAGCGCCATAGAGAAACATTGGAAGATCCGAAGCTCGCATCGGTTTAATGGTGTTTACGCTACAAAAATGGGAAAACGATGTGCCTAGGGTACTTGTAACACTAATTCCAGGTATCCTGAGAGGATAGGAAATGTAATTTATTTTATTCCATTTTCTAAATCCAACCAAAACAGAGTAAAATGTCCCTAAGCATTCAACCCCTATCACACTGAAGATGAAAACGTTCATTTTCTGGTTGTCATACTCTCATTAAGTTACACTTTTCATCTGCTCAAGCAGAACGTTAATGTCATCTTGTGCTTCAGTAAGGTATCTCTCAACGGTGTTGATCCGGGATGTTGTCATTGCGATCGTGGCGACCGTATATAATATATACATTTTGCATTGTGATCTGTATTTTTACATAATTATTTTTATATCTTTTATATATCCCTCCATGGCATATTTAAGTCCCACTTGAAGGTCCATCTATGTCCCAAATTGATCAGAAACACCTCTGAAGAAGGTTTTCACTGACAGCTGTCATTGTAAGACCGTGAGCAACTCGTTTTGTTTGTCCGAGTGAGCAACAGTAACTAAGCTGGTTGTCATACTCTCATTAAGTTACACTTTTCATCTGCTCAAGCAGAACGTTAATGTCATCTTGTGCTTCAGTAAGGTATCTCTGGCTAAAACTAGCTAACGTTAGCGTTAAAGTTAGTGAGTCCATGCTAACGTACAAACCTAAATAGCGAACTGTTCTCACGTCATGTACCGTGCAGCGAAAGTCAAAAACACATAAACGAAGGTCTATATTAGAGTGCCTCTCCAAATTAATCTGGTTAAATGTAAATTAATTTAATCTTACTCTGCGGTATATCAACGGTGTTGATCCGGGATGTTGTCATTGCGATCGTGGCGACCGTATATAATATATACATTTTGCATTGTGATCTGTATTTTTACATAATTATTTTTATATCTTTTATATATCCCTCCATGGCATATTTAAGTCCCACTTGAAGGTCCATCTATGTCCCAAATTGATCAGAAACACCTCTGAAGAAGGTTTTCACTGACAGCTGTCATTGTAAGACAGTGAGCAACTCGTTTGTTTGTCCGAGTGAGCAACAGTAACTAAGGGGGGGCGGGGCTTACCGATAGGTCAATTATGACAAAGCAACATAATTACGAGATTAAAAGTTTCAATTATGAGATAAAAAGTCATAATTATGTTATAAAAAGACATTTCAACTTCCATACTAACCTATCCTGATATTCTTCACACTAATTACTGAATAGATGTTGAGCTAGAGGTTGCTAGGATGTTCTAAGTGGTTCCCAGGGTGTTTCTAGGGTATTCTGGGTGGTTGCTAGGTCATTGCTATACAGTTGCTAGGTTCCGGATAGCTTTGAGTTGTGAAAGTGAAATGTTTACAAAGTACAAAACCCTGTTTCAGTGACACAACCCCTTTAAAGTGCTTGTATATAATTTATACAATTTTGCTGACTACTAGCACAATTGCCACGTCAACATACAAGTCTCTCGTACACAAGCCACTCATGTATTTCCTGTTTTAGAAGGAGGCGGTGACTCGTACCAGCTGTCTCTCCAAGAGGTGGTTTTTGATCTCCAGCTCTCGGATGCGTGTGCTCGCCTCCGTTAACGCTCGTTCCAGGTGCTGACATCTGCCAAACGATGATCAAAGACACAATCAGTCAGAGCTCATCGGACTCCGCCGATGACAGAGTGTTTATCGTGCGTTAAACACCAGACACCAGATGTCACTGTGCTGATGTGAGCGCAGAGACAAACAACAGGCTGAAGACAGAGCCAAATATATAACAATATACCACATTAGATCTACTGGCTATTAGTAAGTTGTACACTCGCTATTTGGTTCGACACGTGATGATACGCTAAAATGATAAAATGGAGTTAATTCGTTTTTAATGATTACTTAGACATAGTTAACAAAAAGTACAGTTCATTAACCAGAATATAAATATTCTCGACTGAATGTTAAAAAACAACTGATAAAAACATCACAATAATCCACAAGACTCCAGTCCATCACTTAACATTGTGAAGCCAAAAGCTGCATGTTTGTAAAAAATAAATTTATCATTAAGACATTATTTAGACTAAGATACGAGTCCTCTATCCATAATACTGCTTTCTCCAGTGGCGTCTTGTTTGAATCAGGTGAGAAATATACACAGATCAACCACTGTTTACAAGCGGAAACAGTCCAAAACAGTTCTAAACAAATATGTGGGTGGATTTTGATGTGAGAGGACAACAGATGGACTTTTTACTGGAGGAAGCGATATTATGGATTATGAACTCGTATTTGGCCAGAAGCAACAGTTTCAAGTTAAAATGTCTTCTTGATGGACTTGTTTCCTACAAACACATAGCTTTTTACTTCAAAAGATGTTAATTGATGGACTGGAGTGGTGTGGATGTCTTGTGGATTATTGTGATGTCTTTATCAGCTGTTTGGACTCTCATTCTGACGGCACCCATTCACTGCAGAGCATCCATTGGTGAGCAAGCGAAGTAATGCTAAATTTATGAAGAAACAAACTCATCTACATTTTGGATGGATTTATTTTGACAATATATTGTTTTTTTTCTTATAAAATTTCATTATGCAATCTGAAACAGTATGAATTGATGTGTATTGTTTCTCACCTCTCAAGCAAGATTTGGTTGCTTTTCTCCATGTCAAGAGGCAAATTCACCAGATCTAGTTTCTCCTTCAGGGCACTGATCTCAGCCTCATAGTACGCTCTGAGATCAGATATGTGACGGGAATGTTTCTCTCTCTGGTTCTGTCTCATTCTAGAAAGATTAGACAAACCATAAGTTAGTGTGGTAGCACTAGGACATCAGATATGTGGATATACCAAATAACACTGGATAGGTTTGGTAAAGCACTAAAATATGATCAATCAGCATCTTCAGCTACACAGTTCAAAATTTCGGGTCCATAAGATTTTTAACTTTTTGAAAGAAGTTTCTTCTGCTCACCAAGGCTGCATTTATTTGATCAAAAATACAGTGAAAACAGTAATACTCTGAAATACTGTTACAATTTAAAATAACTGTTTTTTATTTGAATGTATTTTAAAAATGTCATTTATTCCTGTGATCAAAGCTTAATTTTCAGCATCATTACTCCAGTCTTCAGTGTCACATGATCCTTCAGAAATCATTCTAATGTGCTGATTTGCTGCTCAAGAAACATATCTGATTATTGTCAATGTTGAAAACAGTTGTGCTTATTTATATTTTTGTGGAAACAGTGATACATTTCTTTTCAGGATTCTTTGATTAACAAAAAGTTCTAAAGAATAGTGTTTATTTAAAACAGAAAACTTGTAACATTATAAATGTTTTACTGTCATTTTTGATCAGTTTAATGCATCCTTGAAGAGTAATTTCTTGCATTAATTTCTTTAAAGGTGCTGTATGTAAGTTTTTTTCTCCACTTAAGCATAAAAATACCATAATATTTTTTGCAGATATTTAAGAAACATGCTAAGTTAACATACTTGTTTATCTGAAAAACAATGCTACAGTCAGTTATTCTCCTTTGAAAATGTGCGTTCCGGGCCGGAATGTCTGTCTCTGATTTGGTTTGTGAAACCCGCCCACTGCCAGTTTACCCAATTGTATTTCG